TGAATTGTGTAACACATTCAACAATTTAATTTGTGTAAAGTATAGAATTTTTTTTATTTGGTAAAAAAAACAAAACAAAAAAAAACTACAAAAATAGTTCAAACAAATGATTGAAGTAACATTTATGGCATCCAACATAGACAGACGACCTGAGCCGAGTTTAAAAAACAAACGATAAATTTTATTGTCAACACACAAAAATGAATGAATTAAACAAATTAAGTGCATTGTGTGCCAAATGATGGCCAATAATATGTATGGAAAATAATCAATTATGAAATATGCCTCTTTTGCAAGGAAAATTATAATGCTGCATAGCAAGCCACCAGTCTGCCACTGGGTGGCATGCCACTAGCGTTTACCGCTGGTGGCACGCTGCCGGACCGCCGCCGTGTCCGTCTCGGCAATGTTACCGCTTGCGGACCGCTAGTAGCCTACCGTTGGTCTGCCGGTGGCTGCCACCAGAGGACCACTAGCGTCTTGCATGTAGGGAGGTCTTCAGAAGAGGTAAACAACATAAAAATAAAATGAAGAAAGGAGAAAATGCTTCTCTGAATAGTTTTCAAAGAATTGGTATACTTTTCCAAGCAAAGTTCGTGGTAACAGTAAAGAATAGAACAAACACACCAACCGGAGACTTTTCCTTAATGTGAGATGTTCCATTCAATTCTCGTTTGGTGGTTGTCTAATTTCTTCTCTGTTGTTTTCCTTCTTGGTCCGAGGCGAGCTAAGTTCCTGCAGCAACTGTTCGTCGATCCAAGCCCCCACCCATTAAATTGTATTGATAGAAAAATAAAAAGTTCACTATTCCCCCCCCCCCGCAAAAAAAAAATACAAAAGTTTGTAAACCATTTTGATTTGTCATAAAGAAATAAAAACAAAAAAAAAAAAAAGAAATGAATAAAATAGGCCAAACAGTCATCATTCCTAAATGAAGGTGAAGAAAAAGGTATGGTCAGAAATCAAGAGACAATGCTGAAATGAATTCCTTTGTCTCGAAAAAGTGATAAACTTAGAGACGACCAGGCAAGGCAAACAACTCTCTGTTTGCCTTGCCTGGTCGTCTCTAAGTTTATCTCTGATCATATATCGATGAAATAGTTTTGCCTGTTCTCTCATAACCTAAATTTTCAGACACCTAAAAATCCCACAGAGAGTCAAAAGGATTACTACTATCAAGAGACATACATACACATTTACAAGGACTCTCTCTCTCTCTCTCTCTCTCTCTCTATATATATATATATATATATATATATATATAAGGCCAAAAATTGGTGCATATCCGGATTAAGGACGTTATTCGAAAATAATCACCCATAATCCCACATAACCACCACCTTGGGAACTCTTTTATTGGTTTTGGATGGAAAGCAAACATAACTGTTTTCCTACAAATTGAAAGTACGAACAATATTTTCGAAATTCAAAAAGTAATCAAGAGCCCAACGCAGTGTTTGCTTTCTCTCTGAAAGCCAGACGATGCACGCTTAAGCAACTTAAACTTCTTATAACCCCTCGAAAGTGCTCACGATTTTAAACTTACATAAACAAAATGAATCATTTTGTTAGGGTCAGTAGTAGTTCATTATGAATGTACCTGGAGTGACGGTATGAAAATAATAAAAATCTGACTAGCTAGAACGAGTAAATGAATGAAGGAAAAAAGGCAAAAGCAGGACGACTCGGTATTTCCCTATAAATACGAATGCAAATCAAAGACATTATATTTATAACAATATCAAATAAGAATATATTTAAAAAAATTGAAGCAAGACAATGATCGACGGTATGGACAGTCTTTTATATGCAGTTTAAGAGAATAAAACTTTATTCTGTAATCGTCTTGGAAACGGTGAGCATGTTTGAAACAAAACAAGCGAAAAGCAGGAACTTAGCAACCAGCTTTAAAAGGACACCGAGTACAGAGTGCATAGACCGTACGCGGGGAGGCATAGAGGTAATACTTACATGGTAGGTTTTGTGGATTGGCTGACTTTTGTGATGTCAACGAACACTCGTTGCCACTTTTGTGATGTCAACGAAGACTCGTTACTTTCGTAATGCTCGTTGTAGTAGAGACTTTATAATCGCAGATACAACTATACTAACGCTGTTGAACAATACTGGTGTCAGACGCCTTCGAATATCACTCGCACTAATATTATTTGCTCGATAATACTCGCTCGAATAGTATCCACTGAGTAGTAATCCGTATAGAGAAATAATATAGTGAATACGTAGAGAATAGCGGTCCGTATAGTAACAGAGGATAGAATAGAAATAATGATCAATTAGACACACGCTACATTCAATATATGCATTTCCTCTATGGTCACGTGGTATACTTAATTCAATAATGGGATCGCCTGTGTTTGCTCACTGGCTATCTATGTTCAAACTCAAGTGTCGACAGCGACACTATTCCTATATAACACTGACGAATTTACCTGAGGCGTTCGCCGTAGCGGATAAGAAAGCTGGAACAGTAGCCGATTTAGTGATGAGTGAAATGTTCCCTAGATATGGTGCCCCTGTGAAATTGGTTACAGACAATGGACCGGAAAATCTGAATAACAACGAAAGAGGACCTGACAAGTCTAAATGTGGAGCACATTACTACTCCAATCACCCCCAAGGTAACGCAAAGGTGAAGAGGTTCCACAAAACCTTGAGAGACGTGTTTGCCAAACTGGTTAGAGATGATACGGAAAATTGGGATCTGTATCTGACACAGACTCTGGCGGCTGTAAACCTCCATATTCTCGCCGTATTATATGCTGTTTGGCAGAAATGTGGTCCTATCAGTGGATAATTTGCTGAAACCACGCCGAACGTATTTGATGGAAGACCATCACCAGCTCATCATAGAGCAGCAAAATAGACTGTTCTTTCAAACCAGGAGGAGAATAAAAAGGGCATAAAAGTAACGAAATGAGAGGGTGAATAAAAGAAGGAAGTAGAATTGAGGGTTGGGGCCCTGTGTATTACAAAATTCACCTGGAAAGCTGGACCAGAAATGGGAACCGTACTATAAAATAGTAGAGCAGACGGGTCCAATGTCGTTTATAATTTGGGATCAGATGGCAGAACGAAGAAAGAGGGTTCATGCCAATGACCAGCTGATTGGGAAGTTAGCAAGCCTAAGACAAAAAGGGCCAGGACAAGGAAAGCAACTCTTGAGGAACCAGAAGAAATGGAGACAGATGGAGATTCTGGGGAGGAAGAAAATAGACGGAAAATTCGGCAGCCCGTAGAGGATGATCATAGCGATCCGGACAAGATGGTCCAAGTGTCAGAGCGGAGCTCGTCGGCAGGGGCCAGCGGCGTTCATTCGTCGTCTGTGTCGTTATAAAAAAAGCCTCGCATAGTCATCTCCACACGCCCACATCCCCATAGGACAATAAAAAAAAGCAAAAATCCCTAGTAATGATGTTCAGGGATCCGATTTGAAACCATCCGAACAAGATAGAGGGTTGAGAGAGTGGGGAGAGGAAGATGATACCTCTTTCCCAGCTTCGAGAAAGATTAAGGAATAAAGAAAGATTAGAGGTTGAGTCAGAGTTACTCCTTAAGAAAAGACTGAGAGGGGCGTGGAACCCCTAATCTCAATAAGAAATATGGCTGTGAACGAAGGGATAAATAAGGGTTCGGTGTCTGTGCGCAACGACGTCTGGTTCGTTCGAAACCCTATTTAGTAACGAACAGTTGGTTGGAGAGAATGGAGGTGTAGAATGCGCGTTACAAGGGGCGAACGAATTTACTTGTTGATGCTGCCGGCTGAGTGGTATTGATGAAATACGACTTTTGGGGCAAAAGCGTCGCACACTGTTTGAAGCAATCAACCTGCTTAAGGCTGATTAAATGAAGGAAAGGTTGAAGATGGGAACCTAAAGGGAAGAAGGTAGTGGCGAGAAATCGAATTGAGGCAAAGTATGTAGCTTTGAATTCAGCTAGGACAAAATTTATGATGCTGACAGCAGAGGAAGCAAGGAAATGTAGGGATGATGTCTTAGGAACATGTACTTCGCTCACTCCTATATATCTGACAGGTAATCACAGCCTATGTTTAATTGAACTGTTTAAATACAATAGAGACGTGATTAAAAAATTTCCAAGTAGAGATACAGACAAACACAGTTTTGTCACAAGCTATCAGTATAGTTGATGGAGTTTGGTTGTGGCCGCACAAAAACCTAGAGTGTGTGGGGGAGAACCTACTGGGACGCTGAGAGTGAAACCACCATTGTCTTTGATGGAACAACATTTGGGGTGTTCAGCATTTGGGATATCCCTCTCCCTATCCCCATATTATCAGACCGAAGAGAAATACGAAGAAAAGGTCAATGATTTGGGAAGTGGAAGTATCGTTTGAGGTATTGAGTATTAACAGGATAGTCATAATTTGGTTGGCCTCGATGGGTAGCATGTTAATCATTGCTGAAATAGCAACAGCGATATAGAAACTTAGAAATTATAGAAAGAAATCGATTAAAGATGTTTTATCGAGCATGCAACGACCCGAAAAAGGGATTCCGATCAGTGAAAATAGGTCAAATATCGACAAGAAAGGAACCGAATTGAATTTGTCAGAAGTCGAAATGGAAACAATACCTGTTGAAGAAGAAGAAAAACATCACACTGAGGCAAGAAGAATGGTACCCAATGTCCAAATATGTCATTCTGCCTCTGGTTATTTTTATCCATTCCTGTCAACTATCATGTCCCAATAATTTTCTGCCGCCATAGATTTTTTTTGTCTTTTCTGCAAATACAATGTCCAAATACGTTATCCTGCCTCTGGTTAATCTTTATCCATGTCTATATATAATGTCCCAATAATTCTCTGCCGTCACAGCATTTTCTTGTCTTTTCCTGCCAAATAGAATGTCCAAATACGTCATCCTGCCTCTGATTATTTTTATCCATTCCTGCCAAAAATAATGTCCCAATAATTCTCTGCTGCCATAGTCTATTTCTGGCTTTTCCTGCCAAATACAATGTCCAAATACGTCATCCTTTCTGGTTATTCTTTATCCAATCCTGCCAAATATAATGTCCCAATAATTCTTGGCCGCCGCGCATTTTTCTTGTCTTTTCCTGCCAAATACACTGTTCAAATACCTCATCCTGCCTCTGGTTATTTTCATCCATTCCTGTCAATTATAACGTGACAATAATTCTCTGCCGCCACAGGTTTTACTTGTCTTTTCCTGTTAAATACAATGTCGAAATAAGTCATCCTGAACCTAGCTATTCTTTATCCATTCCTTCCAGTTATAGTCCCAATAATTCTCTGCCGACACAGCCTTTTTTTCCTACCAAATACAATGTCCAAATGCGTCATCTTACCTCTCGTTATTCTTTATCTATTCCTGCCAAATATAATGCCCCAGTAATTCTCTACCACCATAGCCTTTCTTTTGTCTTTTCCTGCCAAATACAATGTCCAAATATGTTATCCTGCCTCTGGTTAAGCTTTATCCTTTCTTGCCAAATATAATGCAATTATACTTATCTTCCTTCACTGCCTTTGTTTTGTCTTTTCCTGCAAGATCCAGTTACCCCATCCTACGTCTTTCTATTCCTTATCCTTCCCTGTCAATTACAACATCCCAATATCTCTCTTCCGCCACTCCTTGTCTTTTCCTGTCAAATATAATGTCCTATTACTCGATACTACTTTTATCTTTTCTTTACCATTTTCTGTCATTTATAATATCACTGTACTCCTCTCCGGCCACTACATTTTCCTTGTCTTTTCCTGTTAAATATAATATCCGATTACGTCATTCCGGCTACATACATTGCTATTCTTTATCCTTTCATTGCAAATATAATGTTCCATTACTTCTCCCCCACCCCCATTGTACGTCTCTTTTGTGCAAATATCCAATTATTTTCTTCCCGCTTCTGTCTATTTTCATTCTTTTCTGTGATATATAATGTCTGTAAACTTCTCTACATCCACAACCTTTTCATTGCCTTTTTCTGCGAATTACAATATCTGAATATACTTCATATAATTCTTTACTACCAATTCCTTTACCTGCCAAACATAATATCCATGCACTTTTTTCCCCTGTTCTATATAACCCTTCAGCATGCGTGTTTCATTGTTTTTATCTTATGTTTTTTTACTTTATATTTTTACTTTTTTGACATGGCAGTATTTTGTAAGCCCCTCCATAAACCCCTGAGTCTACTTAATATCTTTGAACATCCAACTTTTCTCCTTTAACCAATTCTTATATAACAGCCAGATGAATCCCCTTCTGACTTAACCGGGTATTGAACTCACACTCTAACTAACGCCTTTATCCACTGTGCCATGTGTCCTTGAGGACACATGGCACAGTGGATAAATATGTTAGTTAGATCCAATGACAGGCCCCAAAGAGTGTGAGTTCAATACCCGGTTAAGGCAGTGGAGAACTTGGAGAGGGGAATTAACAGGAGATAACTGATAACTGACATCCATTAAAAACATGGCACGTGGAACTAGAACAGTCTACCCCAGTGAGCGAAATAAGTTCGACATTCCAACCACCGGAAGAAGGTCGGAGCGTACAACGGCCGAAACGTTGTAATAAATATGGCGACAAAGATGAGGACAATAGTCCGAATAATGTAAATAATGTACATAATACCTCATCTCGGACATATAATGAAGAAAGATTATTGTAAATCATTAGTTACCTTTAGAAGTAAGTTAACTATAGATAAATTTGAAACACAGTTTAAAATGAAATTGAATATAAACTGGTGCTTTCCGAAAATTGTCACCAATTTTGAGCAACAGTAAACTTATAGATACCAGTTCATCTTCCAACATTCTCTCAAGCGAGGGATTAGATGATATATTTGTAGTTGCACAAAATAGAGTTTTGCTGCTTCACAAACATATTTGTCATAATTATTTTTATTCTTCGCATAAATGCCACATTCAGCATTTTACACGATGTAACTTCCTATTTCGAGTATGTATAAGTGCTTGTAAATGCTAAATAATTAGCGCTATGCTAATTCCTATAATTTAAGAAAAAGGGGAACAATTCAGTAATTAGCAGTTCATAACCCTGAAGTTATCTCACTTGAAAAAAAATTTTGTCAATTAGGTTATTAGAAATTACTCGATGCTCTGTTTGTACTAGAAAGTTAGAACATTACAAATATGCTGTTTTTCTATCGTAAAATAACATACATATACATAAATCAGGTCATTATTATTAGATGGCTTGAAAAAGACAAAATTTAAGTAATATTTTCTAAATTTCACATGATTTTTCACTTGAGCAAACAATGGAGTCAGTCAATAAAGAAAGAAATGGAAAAGTTCATTAGTTTTAGTTGTTGTTTTTTATTTATTCAATTTTTTTTGTTACAAATTTAGCGAAGGAATAGCGAATATAGAGATACCAAAGATCTCACAGAAACAACTAGACAGACAGGGCCACATGAGATGAAGTTGACAAAAAGTTGCTCATAGGTGTTTTTTGTTGAGGTCATAGTGGCAAATGTTCCCATTATATATCAAAAAAACTATTTTCTCACAATATCTAAGAAAGACTTGATTTAAAGTCTTATGGCTTGACAGAACTTATAGGACTGAGTTTTATTAACAATACTAACGAGTGATTTCAATTTGCCACAAAACTTATTCAAAGAAAATTGCAATTAGTTATGTGAACATTGAATGAAGTAAAAAAAAAATAAGCATTACAGCTTCGTTTTTTTTTCTTCGTTCATTTTAACTTTTATTTTTATTCACAGTTAAAAACAAAACAGTTTATTCACAGGGAAATATTGGAATAACTAAAGAAAAAAAGTTACTTATGGAAGAGGAAAAACATGGAAAGCAATCATCATTTTCTCAGTCTTTTAGATTGAACGTGTTTGTTTTGTTTTTTTCCTCTTTTCCTCTGTGCAAGAATTTTATGCATTTAACCGTGTTTTTTCAACTCGGATTCTGCCTGTAGCTGAATATATCAACCCATTCAAAATAAGTTTGCATCCTTCCTTGAATCTGATAAAATCTCAAGGAGACTAAACACTGGCATATCAGGGAAACCTTTCTCATTTAGATCATTAATCCCAGTATAATCTTTTTTTCTGTTTAGTTGCATTCTTCTTTGAGATATCATTTAGAATGTATTTACTACCAAATGCGTTAAAGTTATTTATCAAAATATAAAACAGATCAAGTTTTGTTTGTGTTAACATCCGTAATTTCGGGCCATTATTAAAGATTTATAAACACATTAAATTATTGATAATAACGTGATTGTTTTTTAATTTCTGGGGAAAATCTTTTCATAAATATTATTTGAAATTTTCAATAATTGCCTCAACTTTGTATAAAGGTCGGTCTTAGAGTGCATGGACGTCTGGGAACGAAAGGGTCTGCGTCTCTCAGAGAACTAATCGATCCAGTCGAAACGGATCCTTTCGAGATTAATTTATGCTCTCTTATTCTTCTGCTATTCCAGTTTCTCTGTTAAATGCTATCAGGATCAGATGGATATAGATGAATACTGCCAATCCTCTGGATCTGTCTCTTACAAAGTAAAGATAACAACCATCAGATTATAAATTCTCAGAGCCTTCAAATCTAAGACCCCTTCAGTTGGTGTTAGGGTCTGGTGGTACCAACCTAAACACTTTCTCATTCTCGTTACTGACTCGTTGCACAAGATTCTCTAATGAAGAAACTATCTTAACTATATGAAAACTAACAGGCTGTTTGCATGAAAGATAATCTCGAAGAGTCAACATAGACACCAAAACTGTGGAGGCAAAAGTTTATTTTTTTTGTTTTTCAACTGAAATTAATATTAATATTTCCCATTAATATTTGGTAGATTAGGTTAACGATGTTGATTAATGTTAACAACATTTATCCCATGATCCCAGATTCTAGCACCAGTTAATTAAAATGAAATGTGAAGTGATTTAATAACTCGTGTAATTTACCAGTAATATATTTCTCCAGTGTTATTTATTTTTCCTTTCAATTTCTATACAACAGACACGATTGTGCCATTATTCTTTAATTCAGTGGAAATAATAATTTCATATTGTCTTCTTGAGTCCTTTGAAATGCGACCAGTTATGTTCCACGAATCTTATAAGATCATTTATGGTAAATAAATACATTTGGAAGCATCAGAGATATTTAATATGCGGCAAATTAATTTTTACTTCTCTGTACTACATGAATTTATCCATATCGAACCATTTTCTATGGTAATATAAATTTGAAGACTTTCTAAATCTTAAAAAATTGCAAATAGAGAAACATGAAACTGGGGATCTAGGATTGAACGCAACAAACAGAAATTGTCTATTTTGTATAGAGCAAAAAGCAAGACAGTTCAGATTAGAAAATCGTTTTCCCTGATTTCGCCAAGCGTTAACTGCAAGCGAGAGAAAGAAACTAGCGATACGTCAAACTGAACACAATAAAGAGCAAACGGACGACGGATTCCAATACTGCAGTGTTATTTTATTACTGGTAGCTTCGAGTGTAGATATACAGGACGTGATACTACTTCCCATTTTGCCTAAATCAGAAATCTGATGCAAATGTGGGATATAGTAAAACAGTTACACCGCTACAAAAAAGTTACAAAAAATACATGTCATCTTCGATTAAAAAAAATGTTGAAAATATTCCTTGTCAATAAAAAAGAATGTATTTTTTGGATATTTTGATGAGTCCCATTTTTTCTTTCTTGTTAATGATTCTGGGTAAATACCGCTGAAAATCCAGCAACAGTCTCACGGAGTAGTCGGTGAAAAAGTGTTTATTAAAAAAAAAACAACAAAAAAAAACAAAAGAAAACGAAACATTTCTGATCTTCATTCTTTTTACCTTGTGTCACGCACAAAAGTTAGAAAGTCTGTTTTGGATAATTTAAAAATCGCTTTTAGTTGCGAAATTTGTTTTTTCGATCATGTCTCAAGATGTTTAGTTGAAAATATTTCTGAGAGGATAAATTCTACATCACAATCAATTTAAAGCTTAGACAATGAGTCCGATTATTGGGGAAGAGTTATTTAAGTTAACCAAACTAATTTACAGTTAAAATAGGGATTTTTTAAAAAAATAATAATAAAAAGAAATGAAGGAAAGAAAAACCGTTTTTTGTTTTAGTTTTGTTTTTACTTTTCAATTCTGATAAATTAAAAAGCTTTTTTTTTCCCAAAATACAAAAAAAATCTACAGTGTGTTACGTGCTCTTGGAAAAAATAAAATTTGTATAAACGTGTTCGTTCGTCAGAGTTCGCAACGTTTTAAGAGCTGATTTTTTTTATGCTGATTGTTGAGGATTCGAGAACATGACGATAGAAAGTTCTCATTGGTGATAGCGTGGACTTTTCTTGTATAGAAACACGACAAATAAAACGTTGTCTGGTGTTGCATCGTACACATGTGGCGATAAAAACGCAGAAACTAACACAATTAAAATGCTTGAAAATGCAGATTGAGCGTATACAGAGCAAATAAAATTTTAGGAAGAAAATAACGATGTCCCTTTGTACATGATAACTGACGGCATATTTAGGTGAAATAGTGCCCTGAATATCGACATGTACACAAACTTTGGAAGAAGACCTATCAGGACGTGCAGGTGAGGAGTAGGGTATTTGTGGACGGCATCTGGAAAAAGGAATAGAAATCATTAGTAAACTATTCACTGAATAGAAGGTTAAATAAGCTTTTCTATATTATATTTCGTTTGTTTCGAAGTATAGATTGCCAATAACCATATTTTGTATGACTAATAAAAAATGATTTTATATGAGTTAAGTAAAACTAGATTAACTAATTTTTTAGATTCAGATACTGGCAGTTGAATTTAAATAACCTAATCTAAAGTTTTTTTATTTTTTTATTCAGGATTTAATTCTTGTTATCCATGAAGAATGTAGTGTAAAAATAAAATATTTACAAATGTAACAGATGCTAATATTTTCAAATGTGTATTTAAATAGTAAACCAAAAAGTTTATAAATTGTGATCTTAAAATTGCATGAGTATCAGATGTTATGGTTTGACGATCAAAAGCAAAAAATGTGCAATATTAGAAAAGACATGATGATAAGCAAACGGTTCAATCCAAAATTAGCAGTTTGCTAAAACATGCAAAGCCAACAATCACAAAAACTAAAAGCCAAAAAACTTCGAGAACGTGTTCGAATTTTCATTATTCAAATATCTACATTTTCTCTCTTCGTCCCCTCGCTATCACGCTTTCTACTTTTATTTTACTACATATAGTAACATATAGCATGCAACACACAGACAGCTTGACAGTTGTAATAATATTGTTTCCTAAAATATTAAGCAGTAGATATGTATATTGGAGTGTAAAAATATTGTGTGATAAAAAGAAGAAAAAACAGTTATTAATTTTTAGTTTTCGTCTGAAATATCAACAAATAAAATATTTAGATATTCTTTTATTTTTTAATTTTTTGGAAATATTTCAGAAATATATTGACCTTTATAACTGCATAATCAATTTTACGATAAGATATAATACATAAGATAGCTACCGTTATAGGCCTGCTTTGGCTTTTGTATCTTACCTGTGGTGTTGTTTGCAGGATCACACTTTGCATCTTGCCGTTTCACCAGGAGAATGATACATCCGGAAAGCAAAAACTTGCTTCAAAGTGGCGTTTCCATTTCTTTTTGTTTTGTATTCCTTACAGCAGATGAAAATGTCGTTGATGCCACACAAGGCCTTGCTTCTCTCTAAGTCTTTAACAAGAAATGCTTGTTTACGTAATGTTTCCTCCACAGTTTAAAAGCAGAAGTAGGAATGATAATCAATCAGATCATACGTTGAGACCCAGAACAAGAAACATTTTTAAATTCATTGATTAAAAAAAATATGTTTCCAATTATTTTTCGATTGCTTGCGGCATGAACTTATTTTATTATTTTAACTATATATTTCTACATTGTATGTTTCATTTACTTTGTCGCGTGTAAGTTATTTTCTCATAACTTCAAGTATTTTATCTAATCATTTGTGGACAGATTTAGCTGTTTAAAGATTTAAAGTAGAAAACAAATTCATTCTTTTATAGCCAAATAAACAGCACATGTTATTGTCCTGCAGTTTCGACTGTGCACAAAAAAATATGATAATTTGAATATCTGAATAATATTATATATATATATATATATATATATATATATATATATATATATATATATATATATATGTGTGTGTGTGTGTGTGTGTGTGTGTGTGTGCGTGTGTACGTGTGTGTGCGCGCGCGTTTTGTGTGTATGTCTGTAGAGGATTATAAACATATCTAATGATTTACTATATATGGATGGGGATACATATGAAAACAAAAGAAATGCAAGTAGACAAACAGAAAAAAAGCAAACAAGAAGTTTAGGGAGTTTGAACAAAAATAATGACAACATGATACAAATAGTTTTAATTGACATCTATACATTCAGCGTTAGACGAGGTGATTTATTGTTCATGCACTAAAATGGAGATGACACTACTGAAACACACAATTCCAATGTACAGGGCTCAAATTATGACTGCCAGCGTAACATTAAAAACAGATTAGAAAATAAAGCTCATAAAACGTGCATACCTAGAAATTCTAATATTAAACAAAATTGGGTTGTTTTCCATGTCCATCAACGTGGCATTTGTGTGTTTTGTCGATGAAGTTTTATCTTATTACATGACAGAAATCTGGAGTTATTTCCAAGTTTAAAGTGTGGAAATTATTGCTAAAAAAACGTGTAAATACTAAAATATCATTCTTTGTATAATACATTCTGGATCATGAATTTAGATTTTTGAACTGGGATATTTCAGGTCAAATTGCCAATCAATTCAATAATTGTAAAATATTTTCAGATTATTGATGACTAGGCTTAAATTATGACTTTTTTAAATACAAAATATCAAAAGGAAAGAAAAAGAAACAACAAAAATGTTACTGGCTGTACGTGAATAAAAAAACCCAGTTTGAACACTTCAGCTTTGTAATTTATATTATATAAATTTATATTATTTGGAAAATCTTTTAAATTATTTCAAATAAAAACTACGAAATCATGTACTGAATATTCAAATAATTATTTAATAGATGCTTGAGAGTCAGAGTTTTTCGGTAGATCTTGGAAGCAAGTAATACTTTAAAATCAGAAGTTGAAATTTATTAAAATATTTTCAAAATAAATTAATGTTTTAATAATTATTCACATAAAAAATGAATGATCCGCATTGAAAATCTTTAAAATCTGTAGTGAAATTTTAAGTGTTTGCATAATTATGTATGTGTGCGTGAATTACATTTTTGAGTATTAGTCAAGTGTTACTTGCACTTAGAAAGACGAAGGTAGAAATCCATCGGCTGAGGAGATTTACACATTTCGAAAGACACGAGATTAATATCAACTTTTACAAAGGTTTTTTTTAAACAAAAAGAGAAACACTTCGAGACTGTCGGTAGCAGATACTAACTCAGGTCTTATTTTTATTCACATTGTTGTTTAAAATAGTTCATATGAAAATATTTATCATGGAATTTTATATAGATAAATTTGAGAATAATGAAAGAGGCAAGTTAAAGTTTGCATTTTCTCATATTGAAAGTCTACATGAACTATTTTAACAATATGAATACTGCAAATTGCACAAGTAAGATCCTCTCTTGTGTGGCGAAGCGATTGCATTTAAAAAGAAGTTTTACCTTGTATGATAATGTCTCAAATAAAACAGCTAATGATTTTCATTGCTTGTAATATCACAGTTATCTAATTTTAGGTTTTGAATGATGAATATTCCTTATATGACACAAGTGATATTTGTCATTCAAAACTAACTTTGATATCGTGAAACATCAAGCAGAAAGGAAGAGTTTTCAAAATTACGAGCTGTACGTTATTTTATTTTTATCAACATTCTTTTTAATCCGAAAGTATACCATTTCAAGGAAATTTCTGTCTGCAGATATTTTTGGTTTGCACCTAGAAGATGATATTACTAATTACTTCCAGTTTATTAACGCTGCTGTCTTTTTACGTGAAAAATGTATTAAAGAAGGATTTATGAATATCATAAATTCTTTCATTGTGTAATTTCAAAGAAACGAAGTTTAGAAATTTTTGAAATGCAGCCGACAGTCAGGAACGAAAGAGGAAAATGAAACAGGAACCGTCCGTAAAGGACCAAACGGAAAAAAATGGGTTAATCAGAACAGAAAGAAACAAATGCAACCAACGAATAAACAAGTCAAAGCCAGAAAGTAAATAAAGAGAAGATATTTTATCAGAGAAAAGTTGCTATAGTGTCAGTGTCTTGGCGAAAAACGTGAGCTTCGATTTTAAATTCTTTTTTTTTTCGGTCAACGAATTATTTTTTATTTAAAAAAATTAAAAATTACTCGAAAATGTGCAACAATTTCAGTTACATACGAAAAAGCGGTGAGAACATAAAAGTATTTTTTTTTGTATTTTTTTTTAATAATTTGCCTTTTTTATTTAAGTTTTCTTTTCGTTCGTAATTAATTTTTTTGGTTTCTTAACGTTTGGAGATAAATGCTGTAAATGTTGGCGAAATTTTTGCTGAGGCAGTTTAAAAGAACTTGAGTGGTGTAACTTTGAACATTAAAAAACTCAGATCGCGCCGTTAACAAAAACAATATTGGACAGCATGATAAATTATTGCCATTATTGTTTTATAATAATAAAAAACAGACAGTTTTATTAATACCATTATAGTCGATGTTTTGTTATCAATGTACCTGCAAACCCTAATGTTGTTTTTTTTTAACAATGAAAATGCAAAATATAAGCTAGTGTTGCTGTTGCTCACCGGCTGCTCTATTGTGATCAGTGCAACGTTTAGAGTTTGACCACTTTGGTGATCTCTCGGGTGACAGACATGGAGCGAGACCTGCGCATTGCTGAAAGATTCTTTTCAGCCATATCAGCCCTGTGTTCAGCTTCTTCGATAAGCTGCTGGGCCTTACGGTATTTGTTCATGGTTATTGTAGCAACTTCTTCCTGCAAATAAGAAAAGAGAAAGCATGTTAGAAAAAAAATCAAAAACAGTAAGCGTTGTTAGTGATATCATTTTTTTCATGATGAATTTTCTTTTCACAAATTGGAAAAATATACTTGTTGGATGCTGAACCTTTCTAAATTCGGCGTCAAACAAGTATTTTTTTTTAAACATGGACAAAAAGATATTTTAAATTACAGTTTCCTATTTCATATTTTGATTTGCATAACAAAGAAAGAAAAGCAACAAATAATTTATACAATCATGAACTTATATGGTAATGCGCCTTCGATACCAAATTTTGCTTTATAAATGAACTGTGTGGACTATGGCACATTTCTACCGAAATTTTCAAGGTTTTCAATAATTTTCAAGTATTCAAGATGAATGCAAAAAGAATCATTAAAATCCGACAGCAGTCAAATTTGTAATAATTTTTGCACCATTGATAGAAGGTTTTAAAAAAGAACTTATAACGTCATTGCACAAACTGGATGAAGATTTTTTTCTAATCTTTTCACGCCAAGCAAGGCGATAAAACCACTAAGATTCAAGGAGTTACTGAGAGTAAAAAATCCTGAGGAAAAAATGCTTCCAAATAAATATCATCCTTCTGAATTTTAAAAATGCAACAAAAGAATTTTTCTGCGTAATTCACTCTTTTAAAAATAATATAGCTAAAAAAATATTTCAGTGTTTAAACAATGTCAAAGTTTGTTTCAAAAGTACGTGTTCAGTCCTACTATACAGGCATAGTTTTTTCAGTATTTTTAATACTAGAGAGGGATGTTTATTTTACCATTTTCTATGCTCTTTCAATCTTTAGTTTCATAAATAAAGAAATCTTCTTTTAAAACTATTTATGATTATTGTGCTGCCTGAAAACGTTGTCTTTTGCTTCTGTCTCAATCATCTACGGTTTAATATTTTCAATATTAAACTATAGATGCGATAATAAAAATAATTACTCACAGCTTCCTCGATCTGTCGTTTGTAAGTTTTCATTTTAAGGAACATCTGTTCGTTGGCGCTAGTAAGTTCGCTCATGATGCGGCGTTCGTCTTCAACAACTGCAGTGATTTCCTTCAAATTGCGTTCACATCTACGGCTAGATGCGATTGCCTCTCGTGTTCGGCGCTGTTCACTTTCAAGCTCACCTTCCAAATCTCTTACCTAAAAAACAAGGTAATTTTTTTCATTTAATACATACATATGTTCCAATAATATTTTTGAACTTTGAAATGTAAACAAATGGACAACGATTAAATTTCACAAACATACAACTTTGTTCCTTTGTAAATCATTTTAATCATATACCTGACAATTAAAAGGAAAACAGTAACTTTGTATTAGACTTTGATAATTCGATTTGTAAATAACGAAATAAGTAATCTAAATTTTGGGGATAGCAGTCGAATTAATCCTAATATGTCCCTGTAGTTCATTGCCGCAGATGATTGCGACTGAAAATTTCTGAAACACCCAAGTTATTCGATGTGGCTCAACACAAGTTTTGGAAGAACAAACCCAGCAGTACTTATTCAATAACAGGTGGCAATTCGCTAAATAGCATGGAGTACCACAGAGAATATACAAAAGTTTCGAAACAGCGAAGCGCTTCTTCAGTATAAGTAGACCTCGGTTGGCGGCAAGCAAGCGTAATCATTTGATCATGACTTTCAGTTTTGAGATTAGCTGGTGAAAAAAAAACAAAAAACAAAAAACAAAAACAAACAAACAAGGGAACCGAAAATGTGAGCGTTACCTGAGCTAAGCGCAGGAGGAAGCAAAATGTGAAACTCGACGGATCACTTAAACTTGGTCAATTTGATCTAAAGTTCAAAGTTTGATTCATTTATTCAATATTTATACTAAACAAACGACTTTGATGCTTGGAGTTAAAATTATTTAGCGCTCTTCAGTAATTAAGTGCTTCTAATCAATGCATAAATAACAAGCAGAAAATTGTAAAAAATGGTAAAAGCATTGATCCTTACCCGCGCCTGCAATTTGGCGACCATTCGTTTTCCTTCTCTTTGGGCATAAGCTTCAGCTTCCTCCAAACGGATGGTAATTTCCCTGATCTCAATTTCCAGCTGCTTGCGCAAACTTTCAGCATTCTTGTAGTTTTCAGATTCCTGCTTGAGTTCATCGGAAAGTCGGTTGACCTCAACAGCCAGTCTGTCAGAGCGGTCATTTGCAGCCCGCATATTGTTAATGGCATCGTCAAGATCACTCTGCATTCCCTGGATGTCAAGTTCCAGACGTTTCTTTTCGTTAGTGACGGAAGTAAGAAGGATTTGGCATTCGCTCAGGCGGGATGTCGTTTCGTGGAGTTCGTTTTCAGCATTTTTGCGGGCACGTTCAGCCTACAATGACATAAATATATACACCAAATTAATAAACATGTCTATTTCTTATCAATTATATCTGAGAAATTTTTAAAACGCAGTAAAGATATGCCCTTTTCTTTAATTCCTTGCCAAATTACAAAATATAAATAAACTTAAAATATATCATAGAAACTACAATACAAAATGTCTATATGTATGTGCGATAATAAATTACGACTCACAGTTTCCAAAAGTGTACGGCAGTCCTCAAGTTCAGTTGTGATGGCAATACGTTTCCTCTCAGAAATAGAAAGTTGTCCGCGAATATCTTCAGAAATGCGGCGTTCCTCTTCAAGGCTGGTTTCTAGTTCCTGTTATGGAGGTAATCTTTTAGTTCACTTGAAAAGCAATTTGTTAATTTATAAATTTTACATATCTATCAATAAGTAATGAAAAGTCCGTTATATCCAATCGAAATAATATTTGCACACACACTCGCGCACACACACACACACACACACACACACACACACACACACACACACACACACACACACACACACACACACATACACACACACGTGTTTTCACATAAATAGTGAAACATGCATTCACAGTTCAAGTTAAGCCAAGTATTCTTCCTTTTTCAACTTATTTCTCCTTAAAACAATTCAAACGAGCACTAAATCTAATGCCTACTGATGTATAAATTCATCATTAAACAAACGGCCCTTATTCTCTCCTCGTGGTTTTTCCCGGGAAAAATTCTAACTCAACAGATGAAAGAAAAAAGTTCTCAAAGGCGGCGAATTAATTAAGAAGTTGATTTAGTATTATATCGTAACACGTCATCTGTATTTATATATTATTACTTTAAGTAGTGATCAGAAGTGCTGATCAATATGTAAATAATCCCGTCACATTATGGGTATATATATATATATATATATATATATATATATATATATATATATATATATATATATATATATATATACATTTAAAATTCATATATAAAAACATTCTAATAATAATAAGGACTTGGCAAAATATCCTATCATTTTTATGTCATGGGTAAACTAGATAAAAATTAAATGTATCATAGATATATTTTGTAATTATTGTATCATTTTTATCACTATTTTAGTATTTGAATTTAGACTATACATATATTTCACATGCTTGTATAGCGCCAATTTCCTAACCATAAACTCCCAACACATGACCATTTCACTAAATATGATCAAAGTATTCACCTTGATTCTGATGTGCAAAGACTTGATAACCTTGACATGTTCAGCATTCTGTCGGTTGGCAGTATCAAGGGCGTTCTCAAGTTCTCTGATGTCAGTTTCATACTTCTTCTTAAGCCTGTTGATTTCAGACTTGTATCTTGTTTCGACTTCAACGAGAGTGCGCTGGAGTTCTTCAATTGCACGAGCACTGCTCTTTCTGAAAGCATAAACATAAATATATTCATTAAAGGAAGAATCAACAACAACGCCAACACAACTCTTGCATTTCACAACTTGTTTCCAATACATATATATATATATATATATATATATATATATATATATATATATATATATATATATATGTATGTATATATATATATATATAAGTGAGAGAAAGAAGTGGTAAATTAGAAAAAAGAGTGTACATTATTCCAAGTTTTTCAACGGTCGGTGTAAACAAGAGTCCAGCTTAAAATGTCAAGTTGTGAAATGCAAGAGTTATATATATATATATATATATATATATATATATATATATATATATATATATATGTAGATAGGTCGATCAAAAGTAGGTAGTCTAATGATGAAAAAATTTATTTATTTTACACATAATTTTCTTCCTTGTCAATGCGCTTAATAAATTAAGCAAATTTTAATAACATAGAAATAACCTATACTGAAAATTGACGACCGTTAGTGATCTCTTCTCTGTCACAATTCAGTAAACGCTTCTATCTTTTTTGTCTCTTATTTCATTTCTATTGGACATGAATCAACATAATGATCTATTGTATTTTCCTTATGTGACCAACCCAAATTCTTTTTTCGGCTCAGTTATTTCTATGATTTTTTTATCTTTGCATATTTTCTGATCCATGAGCATTTTAAGGATAGAAATAAGTCAACATCTTGTATTTATCATTGTGCGTTTCAAAGTTTGTTTTCAAGTTATTTAGACAATTTTCATATTTTGTGCCCATACATCATAGCTTCCTCTTTGCTGGCAATGAAAAGGTATTTGACTCCATCGAGTTCACCCCACTATTCACAGCAATGGAGAACCAAGGAGTGGACACTGCTTACATCACACAAAAAATCTTTACAATGGCGCCACACCCACTCTCAGATTACCCCAAGGCATAAGATGAAATTAGAAAGAGGAGCAAGACAAGGAGACGACATTTTCCCGAGAATGTTTACACCTTGTTTACAAAACGCCATCATCAATGAAGTCAATTGAGAGAACAAAGGTATCTATATAGATGGTGAACTCCTCTGCCATCTGGTCTTCGTAGATGATATCATCCTAATAAACCACGCACCACTAGAATTGGCGTAGATGCTCAATGCTGTCCACACTGTTAGCATGCATCTTAGGAGAACCAAAGTCATATTTAACAGCCACGGTAAACCATCACCAGTTATTGTAGATCGAGGAAGTGAATAGTTATGCATACTTCGGAAAGCTGGGTGGCGTTGAAAAAGCTTATAGCATCATGAGAGGTCCTGTCAACAATCGAAACCAAGAGAAAGTTGTTTAATGCATATGTTCTGCCGGTCATCATTTATGGATGTGAGACATGGTCGCTCAACATCACCACTGCATGATTCGTTCCATTTTACGTGAGCCACTCACGTAAAATGGAACGAATCATGCTCGGCATCACCTTACGTGACAAGAAGCGCAAAACCTGGATTCAACAGCAGACTGGAGTGAAGGACGTAATCGAGACCATCAAGAAGGGTAAAAATAGATAGACTAGCCCCATCTCTCGAGACAACAGGTGGATTATTAAGTCGACTGTTTGGACGGCAAAGCAGTGGAAAATAACTAGGAAAGATGGCGCGAAGATCTGACCCGATACCTCAGCCCCACATGGCCCAGTATAGCCAGAGATGGGAAGTGATGGATGTAAACCAGGTAAGCAAGGCCCTTCATTTAGATATCATAGCTGGCATTATGTTTAAGCATCTTGACAAGGTGATTTTCATCAGATTGACTTTAAAACTTTGAATTCATTTGTTTTTAGATATGCTTTTTTATTTTTACTACCTGCCCTAAGTATATGCGTTCCTGGACCTATCATCTTATGAACCTTTTCGGAACGATACAATTGAACATTACTTTTGTTTTATTTCTGTTCATTTTTCAACCTACGTTGAGACTTTCTCTATCTAAATTAATTAACATTTCTTGTAATTCATCCGATTAGTAAAATGACAGTATATCGTAAGATAGCTCAAATATGTTTCGCTTATGTTTACTCCCATTCTGTTTATTTTTCGGAAGATACCGTCGATAAATAATTTAAGGGGAATAATATTCCCTTATCTCGTTCCTTTTTCAATCTTTTTATTGTCTGTATTTCTGTGTAGTTGAATTATTGCAATACTGTTATTGTTAACTTTAAAGTCATTTTTGCTACTACTCGGCTCCTAAGCGTTCTACTGAGCCAAATGCATTTTCATTGTCGACAAACGCAGAAGTGGTTTGTTATTCTATCGATCAGTTTGTTGGTATTGCTCTGATAGAAGGAGCTATTTGTTGATATTGTTTATATTTGTATGTTTGATTTGTGCTACGTGTGTGAAGTTGTTAAGAAAACACTTTAACTAGACTTTAACTAAGTTATAATTTACAATTTAAAAATTCTGGATCGCTGATCTTATCAACTAGCTTAGTAAGATCTGATCAATTACATCTTTAGTAAGAAATGGAAATATGTGACCGGGCTATTTACTCGTATATTAAGAAATTATTACTGAATTACTTTGGGATAATTAAATGATAAAAAACTGAGGGAAACTAGTTAAAATATAATTTTTATAGCGACACAGTTCAATTTTAAAATGAAACGTTTACACACTTAACACAAATAGCATATTTTTTCAAATAAAACTTTTTGATGACATTAGATGATTAGCGAAAAGTTTTTAAAAGTTATATATATATATATGATGGATTCTCCCGTCGAGTTCGACGTATAAGGTTCCGATGACCACGAACTAATTATCTGCATGCCTAAAAACTAATTAGATGTAGTTGTCAGAAAACCAACACAATGATTTGTTTCAAGTGGTGAAGGCTTGTGTCACACCATCCACACTTTTTGGATCTGTCGATAAAAAGTAACGGTGCAAAAAAACTTGCCACAGAAACTCCGAACGACAGTCCTCATGTGTTATTATCGCGGAGTTTAACATCTCCAGGTCACAGTCAATATCAGACAATATATATATATATATATATATATATATATATATATATATATATATATATATATATATATATATAAAATCAAATTGTCAATAAATGTAAATTCCATATCACATATTATGATCATTTTAAAAGTAAAATGTTATCCATTCTACAAAATTACAAATCAGAAAAATCCGCAAGGCTGAATATATAGATTTTTAGTTTACCTGATGCTTTCAATTTCTTCATCCTTTTCACGGAGTCTGTTTTCCATCTCAGCCCTCAGTTGGTTGAGAGCTGTGGTGGCAGCGTGGAGCTTGTTTTCAGCATCACGCAAGCTCTCTTCTGTATCACGGAGAGCGCTGGCAAGAGAGTCACGTTCGGCCTCGAGTTGGGCGCGCAGAGCTTGCAACTCAGCTACTTGGCGGTTAGCATCCTTAAGGGCAGTAGTTGTCTCACGAAGGTTGTCTGAAAATGAAATGCATTATTTTTCTCGTGAAGCTATATTTAATAACATTTTAAAGTATTTTCTGGAAATGAATCAATTGATTCATTTAAATACGAATTAGAGAAATAACAATATGCCTGAATCTTCAAAATCTATATTTTCATTCGAGTAATTTGTTGGATATTTAATTTAATTATAATTAAAGCGATGTCAAATTGGTTTTCGGGTGTAAAGTCTTGTACTGTTTAGTTAATATACAGTGATCGAAAGTATTGTGATATCTTAATTTAATGCTACTTACCTGTGAGTTGTTTGTTTTCCCTGGTAAGGTTATCTACTCTCTCGCCGAGTTCGGCATTAGCAACCTTCAAGCGATGGTTGTCTTGTTCAAGGGCTTTGTTGGCGGCTGACAAGCTAGCATTTTCTGAAGTCAACTCATCAACACGTTTGAGCAAAGAAGCATTCTCGTTCTCAAGTTGACGATTTCTCTTAGTAAGGTCTTGGACAATAATCTGAATCTGTAGTAATTTAACGCAGATGTTTATCAACAATTTGAATATTTAAGATAATAACATAAATGCATAGGTTTACAGAAACAAAGATTAATGATTGAACTTTAAACAGCTGTTATAATAGAGCACCATTTGTTCACGCTTTGTATTTTCTCTTAAGTTTTTATAATATAAACGAGACAAAATAACAGAAGAAAAAGATGCACTGATATGCTTTGTAAACAGTAAAGAGTCATAAAATGTGTTTTTTAAAAGCATGTGTACAAATTATTTTGCTGAGGATGCAAAAAGTTAAAGAATATTGAAAATTTTAAGCGTGATGTTGTATATTCATGGGTAAATATTAAAATATTATTTCCTTTTGTAATGAAAGAACATGAATAAAATAAAACCACGTCTGGTTTTAAATACTAATATATCTGAATAAGGATCTTTAATATTATAGCTAAGATTTTACAAGCTGTTTTCAGGGTATCTAGAAAATAAAATCGGACCAAAAGTAGTTAACCTACATTTTCAATTTCCATTGTGAGTTCTTTAATCTCAGTGGTAAGCTTGATCTTAGTCTTTTCCAGATTATTTATACGGACTCGTGCTTGTTCAAGTTGGTCCTCAAGTTCAGCAACTCTGGCATTCATTCTGCGTCTACAAACCAAGAAGGAAAGATAATTTATGAACTTATAAGTAACATACAAATATTTTTGTTATAACATTAAGTCATTGATTAGAAAACAAACAATTTGTAAGTTAAGCAAAGTTAAACTGACAAAAATAAAAACATTGACTTTTCACCTGAGATCTTCTAATTCTTCTGTCTTGGCCATGATTTCCTTATCATATCGACTTTTCAGGGCGCTGTATTCAGTATTGATTTTACTAAGCTGATTACGCAGTGTAGTATTACTTTCAGATTCTTCCTCGTAGCGGGCGTTCAAATTATCGAAGTCGGCCTGCAGTGCCGAAAATTGGGCAGTCAAGTTGATGCGTTGCTGAAAAGAAAATGTTATTATTAGAAACATTACTGTAGCGTGATAAGTGAGAAAAATATTGATAAAATATGTCATAATTTGATTTTTAATTATTTCCCTTTGATACATTTGTTTTCTATCTTAAATTATATATGATATTCATAACATGTCTTGATTGCTAGAAAAGTGAAAAGATTAGTTTATACTTGTAGAAACTTCATGCCTGCAACAGTCTTATTTGAATTCGGTTACTTAATAATTGCAGAATTCAGATTTCAGAATGCACTCAATATTCTTTATATATACAAAAGGATTTTTCTATTTTAATAATAAAAGGAATAAAGAACTTTTAGTGAAATATTCAAATAAATTAAGAAATTGTAATGATTTGAGGCTTCATATTTATTTGAATACCATTTTGTTGATTGTAACGTAACTAATATTTTTTAATAGCATAACTGACCGGAAATCAGTAGGAGATCCACAGATAGTCGACAAAAATCAGTTAAAAAAAAATGCATTTAAACTTAATGTTTCGAATATTATTTGGTTTTTGTTATTATTAGTAATAATCCATATCCAAAACCTTCCTGTTATGATAAATTGTTTAAATTTTATAATTCCAAATATTTATCCAAGCTTTTACAAAATAATTCTTTAGATAAAATCTGGTAGATGAAGAGGTATTTATGTGAAGAGACAAAGAGACAAAGACACAAGTTATATTCATGAATAGTTTGTAAATTCTAGTAAATGTATTGGATTGGTTTCTATGTGTGTGTGTGTGTGTGTGTATAAAATCCCAATAATTAGTAAATGTTAATTTGTTAACAGTTGAATTGACAAATTATTTTGTGTGTGTGTGTGTGTGTGCGCCACACACATACACACACACACACACACACACACAAAATAATTCTGCTAAAATATTTATGCTGTATTGTGCAGAGGAGGAATGTAATGAGCATCTAAATTATTTTTTGATATTATTCTTAACTTACTCTAGATTCATCGTCCAAGGAACGTTTCAAGTCTTCGGCTTGAGTCTGCAACTGCATCTTAGCCTTTGCCAAAGCAGCATTGGCGCTATCCAGCTCCTGGACCTGGTGCTGGTAGTCGAAATTCTCCTGGGTGAGACGAGCTTTTGCATGGTTGGCATCTGCAAGTTGTTTCGTCAAGTCGTCTACAGTGATCTTCAGCCTACCCACTTGGGCGTCCAATCCTTCCAATCTGCCTTCAGCGGCAGCCTAAAACAATAAATAGATTCCATAAAAATGTAATTCATTTATTTCTATATATATATATGTTGAATCGATTTGACGAGGTGCATATGCATAAGTGTCTATAAATATTTAATAAATTTAGGTTAATCTGGTAATATATATATATATATATATATATATATATATATATATATATATAAACTATGTATATACGAAGGGGTGCTTGATTAAATTCCTAAAATCTGATCAAACATCAGAAGTTTAGTGAGGACTTTTTCTTCCATATATAGGTGTATTTACATAAATAAACTGTACAATATTTGGTTTTTCTTCACGTGTCTGAATTTTAAAAATATCAGTAATTATTATTTCTATTTAATTTCAAGATAATGAACAACCTTAGAGTTACTGAATAAAATCTCACACTAGTAAGTTAGTAAGAAGAATTACTCACCTTGGCTTTCGAAACTGCATCTAAACTTGTCTGCAATCCGTCAATTTCCACAAGAAGCTGTGATTTTTCTTTTTCAACTCTAGAAAACAAATAAAAAGAAAATAAAGATGAAGTTTCAAGAGAATATATTGATTTTTCTGATTTATCTAACTTCTGTTGTGTGTATAACATCAAAATAAAAGTGTAATCTGTCTTATTATCTTTTTATTCTTTCTTTCTTTCTCGATTTCTATTCGTGGCACAATCTCTATTGATAGACAACGTTTCCTTTAGTTTTTCATACTATCGCTGGAAAATATGTGAATGAATGTTTTTGAATTCTTACCTGTTCTTCTGTTTTGTGATGTAATCAACCTGCTCGGATAAATCATTGATGGTCTCTTGATGACGTTTCCTCATACTTTGTTCAGAGCTCTCATGTTGAACAGTGATAAGTTCAAGGTCTTTGCGAAGTTTATTTACTTCAGACTCCCTCTTACGACTGAGCTCGCTCTACAAGTTGAAAAATGATAGATTTAACAAAACGGAACCGAATATACTAAAAACGATTGGATTTACTCAAGCAAATATTAGCGAAGACTATATCATTATTAATTAAATCTAATCATGATATTTTCGTACAAGTTTAGGATATTCAGATATATAAGTTTTCCCAAGCATGCATTTTCAATTATTCTGTTTTTCTTTTCTGTTATAATAATAATAATAATAATAATAATAATAATAATAATAATAATAATAATAATAATAATAAAATCGATATTTATCTGTAAGTCGTATAAATCGTTACTGAAAACTGTTAATGAATACTTTCATGTGAATATAATGATCTTTTAACCTTACAAATATAAATGATCAGCTATACGTGTAAACTTTCTTTACAATAAATAATATTTCCCAAGTTTTATCTCAGTCATTTTACTATCATCAGCATCATCATCATTATCATCATCTCTATCGTACACGTTGTTTGAATATTAGTAACAAAATTCAAAATATGCCTAGTTCTATTATCATAATTATATACTTCATTTTATTATTAAAATTCCTTTTTCATTATTATTTCCAGTTTTCTTGAATTATCATTTTATACATTCCTTTACCAAAGACATTATTATTATCATTATTTTTATTTTCTTTGATTTCTGGCGTTTACACATTTCTTTCCGGGTCCCCCCAGGGACCTAAGGTTAGAAATGGCGTCATGACACTTTCCACTGACAAAAAAAAAAAAAAAAAAAAAAAAAAAAATAAAATTATATAGATAAAGCCCTTCGTATTATTATTATTATTATTATTTTTTTTTTTTAAAAAAGTTATTTTGACATGCATTTGTTTTATAATCACATACTGGGTCATAACCAATGGTCAAGGGCAGGCGTAGAATGTAATTTTTTGTTGTTTCCACTTAATTTAACAAAAGACAGTTATTAACCAAAAACTTAAATGGACAAAGCTTTTTGCAGGATATATCTTGTTAGAACTATTTTTTTTTATTTTCCTAGGGAGATGGTGCACCAGGAATTTTGTTGTTTTTGTTGAGTTCCTTTCTTTATCAGACCCAAAGCTCCAATGACAACAAGAACAGTTTTAGTTTTAAGTGTCACATTTTTTTTAGTTTTAAGTGTCACATTAACCTAAACAAAGATGTTTTGCCATTTGATCAATCAATTTTTCTTTTCTGTCTTTGATAATAATATCTGGGCAATTTTCATGTATTGTTCGATCTGTGTTGAGAGAAAAATCCCAGAGGATGGGTGAGCAGATTAATATCTGCTCACCCAACTACAGATTCAGAACGAAAATGTTTACAGCTGTTTTTATCCTATAACAGATCTTCCAATGTAGATATTGACCTATTCTGTCATGACGATTTTTGTACTAATGAGTACAAAAATCGTGAGTATAGAGCATCCTGAGATAAGGTGATCAATAGTTTCAATGTCTTCATCACAGAACCTACATTTTGGGTCCGTAATATAATGCAAGATACTAGCTTGGTAGTTGCGTGTAAGCAGGCTCTGATCCAGTGCAGCAAGAATAAACCCTTCAGTCTCACCCTTAAATTCGGAACTACTTAACTACTACTGGTGGGTTACGAATTGAGCTACATCAATTAGGAGAAAGGGCTATATAGGGGTTTCAGCTCCAGTTTTCTTGTATTTGCTTTGAGCCTAACTTTTATTTCAATTTTCTCACTGGTTTTGTGGCAGTTGTACTTACTTCAGGTTGCTAGAAAATCCAAGATACTTACTTCAGGTTGCTAGAAAATCCAAGATACTTACTTCAGGTTGCTGGCAAATCCAAGATACTTATCTATCTTTTATTTTCTTTAGAGTTATTTTCTGATCTGCCGGAAATTCACTGTCTGGCAAATTTTCTTTCTTGTCTTTACAATTTCCAAATCTGATTGATTTACTTGGATTAGCTTATCCGTTTGAATCTGAAAATCCTAGGGCATTGTATGTGGTTTATTCTCTTGGACAGATTCTTGTTTTGTGCATATAACATTAATCTGTTTGATCAAGATACTCTCACTTGCATAGTTCTCAGTGGATTCTTTATTATTATTATTATTATTATTATTATTAATAATAATAATAATAATAATAATAATAATATCAACAAATCATACATACCTGTGTTACCGAAGTAAGACCAGCCTCTTCGAGTCGCTCGTTGAGAGCATCAAGTTGGAAAGTATATTCTGCAACGAGTTTCTCGGCCTAGAAAATTAAGACAGAATTAGGTATACTCAAATCTATTTGATGAAATAAAATATTAAAATTAATATTCAATTACATACAGAAATATCACATACGAATAAAAATTATATAGATCTAGATCCGTTGTATCTCGTATTGCGCATCGGTTGAAAAACACGATTTTGATTTAAAAAGAATTCAACCTAGAAAGTCTTTGTACTTGAAATTTTATTTTATTTATTATTAAATTTATATTCATTTTCCTTAACATATTCTTAAAATGTTAGCATTGCTATGATTATTGCTATGATTATCCATTTTTGGCTGCAAGAGAAATGCAGAAAATAGAATGCATGCGGCGATATCATCGTGTTTAAGATTTGTAATCCAAAAATGTTACGTCTGTATTTATTTAAATCAGCAAAGTATTTCAGTACATGCAGAAATAAGCAAGACAATTCTTCATTATTACTTTTGTTTAGATTGTACTTACCCTGATCCTGCCGTCCCTCTCGGAATCAAGAACATCCTCGAGCTCTCTGATTCTTGCCTTAAAAAAAAGTCGATTAAAAAGTCATTTGATTTATTCTATGTACAAAATATGAAAATAATAATAATAGCAGGAATGTAACTTTCTCATATGAAAAATAGAATTTGCTTGCTAATTTTTGGTTTTGAAATTAATCGATATTTTGTGCGCTTTTTTATTTTACGCACAGATCAAGCGTAGAGTCAATACAAAGAAAAAAGTTTGATATTTATTGAAATGTTTATTTTCGCATACAATTTTATTTTCATTGTTTGCCTAATTGTTGCTAATTCTTTAAACATTCAACTATGGTCTTTAATCTATATTTAAACGCCGAAAAGACGTTAAAATAGTCAACTCAAAATTATGTTTATTCAGTGATAAAGCTTTGAAATATAAAAAGTCAGAGTATATTTATTCGCAGGAATTAAAATTAATGGAAATAATTAGTAAAATTTCTCTTGAAATAAGAAAGGTTGTGATTTCTTTTCGCTACATAAACGACAGTTTCATAATTCAAAACAAATGTTTACTTACAGTTGCGGAAACTTGAAAGAAACTTAAATAAAATCAATTCATAAAACGCACACAGCATGCAAATTCATGCAAACATACATTGTTATTTTGTCTTGTTTGGAAAGAAAGATTTTCTTTTTTTGATATAATATCGGACATAAAATTCATCAGATTAGTGTTCAATATCTTTTGAGATTCCCTAAGTTTAATTGGACGACTAAATTTTGAATTTAAAACATTTCTTTTTTACTTACATATTTTTGTCAGTTGAAATGTTAACGTTTTTATGTATATTGCTCAATTCATATACCAAATAAATGATGTTTGTGACAGGAAGATTTATGGTTATTCCTCGTTTTTAAAAAAGGGTCATCTGCCATTTGCTGTCTCAAGGAATGTTAGTTGCAAAAAAAAAAAAAAAAGAAAAAATGCGTAAGTATGACAGTATTATTGAATGATGACCATAAATGTGCATCGTATTTTTTACTGCTGCGATTTTCAACAAAGGGAATAGAAGACTTATCTGAGGTGATATTTGTAAATTGAAGCCACACAGTATAGATTTTGTGTGAAATAATTTCATTGAATTACTTGGTTAGAAGTTTTGGGGAAAAATAAAGAACCTCGGAAATTAGTTTTGTTCTAAAATGCGGATATAAAAGCTAATGAAAATGAAAAGAAAATTTGAAATTATGGATGTATTTCGCTATTACTATTATTGCTGTCGTTGCAGATCAATTGATTGATAAATGATGTCAATATTTGATAAGTTATTTTATTGAAACAAGGTTATTAAACAAAAAAGGGTTGATTTCATTTTTTTAATTTATTGTGAACACAAAAATGAGAAAAAAAATTATCTTTATGAAAAAAGTATTTTTAATATATTCTTCGTGGACAGGAATGGTTAGAAATAACTGAACAGTTTCTTTTAAACGTTTAAAGTTTCAGCTTGATATTAGCTAAAGACACTACAGATATAAAGGATACAAACAAGAATGGGAAGGAAGAACAAGGAAAGTGTCACTGCATATACTGCTGCCACATACCCGAAATCGTGATTCCATTTTGTCTATTTCTGTTTGATCGAATGTGACGTGACGGGTTTTAACGACCTAAAAAAAGAAATTCAAATAATTGCATAAACTGTGACGTTTCTCTTTAGACATTTTCCTTTTCCAGATCCAGAGTTCATTGTCTTAATAGTATTTACTACCATGAACGACCGATATCGGAAAAAGTGACAGATCGTATCACTATTTCCTGATGCAGGAAGTAAATATTTTTTTAAAGTAACTTCATCTTTTTCCGGATTTTCGAAATTTCACATTATTGACAGCATTTTGTCAGACGAAAGCTAGAAAAAGAGGATACGATTCCAAAATATTCTTAATTGTCTAGCTAGAGTTTATAAAGAGATCAAGTCTTCTAACAATAACATCAATGACGTTTCCTTTAAGAGCTCCAAATATAAGAGACTTCGGAATAACGCCTACCCGCATTTAAAAGGTTATTACCTACATTACTTTTCTGGAAGGTAAGCAAAGATCGCACACAAAAAGAACACACACTTACATACACACAAACACACACTGCAATAAAGATCAAAGCAACTTCATAGAAACCGATAGGAGATAAGAACAATTAAAGGTATAAAAAGAGAGAAAAACCATTATAATGGAAAAATTGAGAAAAGATTTAGTCTCGAATAAATTCAACTGAGTAGGCCGAGGAACTGACTGATTTTGTTAAAATATAAAAAATTGAAAGGACTTTTAAGAGTGTATGCATGCACGTGTCTGCATATCTCTATACACTCACCACTAGTTATTCGCTCACATATTCTATAATTGTCTATTAGAGTTGAATAACTACATAAAAACATATGATTAAATACATTCAGTATATATTTAATTTAATTTTTATGTAAAAATGTTTAAGCTCATTTAAATTTTTAATTTTGATGAGAATTAGTTATAACGATACAATTCTTAATCTTTTACCGACAAGTGAAATCTGTCGTAAGGTAAAAATAAAGCAGAATTATTGAGGCAGAGATTAAATTGAAATTTAAACTAAAACGTCAAATATATAATCTAAATATTTAACACCCGTGAGAAATGAATTGGTATTTTTGTTTTTGGCAACTGGAGAAACTTTATTGATAAAAACACAATGTATGTTGTATTTCCATACCTATGGAAGTATATCAGAACTGAAATATTATAAAATTAATACTTACACTTGCGAAAAGTAAACTGATTTTGTATATGAATACTGATGTATAACGTTTTTTATTTTTATTTCTTTTTTCCTCTCCAATACACTTGGAATGTACATTTTGGTAATTTTATAGAAAATTATGTGGATAAAAGTCATTATGAAATATTTCTCTTTTGTTATATAAAAACAGATACATGGAAAAATGTTCATAGATTTGTCAGAATAAATATATTATTATTATTAGCAGCAATAATAATGGAAGATAATAATAATAATAATAATAATAATAATAATAATAATAATAATAATAATAATAATAGTGGAAGATAATGATGAAAGATAATAATAATTATTTAAAAGCAATGTATTTTAAAATATTGTTTTAATGTTAATTGGTGTTACAGTTAATGTACAAATAGAAACTAATTCGATCTATTTGACATGAGCCAAAAGCTACAAGAAACTAGAAGTGAAAAATATCTATTTCCAAAATTGGTCAAGGGTAGAGGTCATGTTAAATTTAAAGTCAGAAACTTCGCTGACACGAAATATATTTGTGTGTGTGAGAGAGAGCATAAGCGTGTATATTTATTATTTGTCCAGTTTTTTAATAAAGTTATTTTTATTGCTATCGTATTATAAAGAGGTAATTAAACAAAGTTATAAGATAAATTGTTCTGTCGGCTTTGTTAATTATGTTCTGTTCAAATTAAGGCGCTGATTATTATATCGAATAAAGTGAGCAGAAAGTCGGTACAGAACAGATTCTCTGCATACCTACTTGGCTTGAATCAAGCGCTGTGTCTTAACGCCTTAAAAGGCTTCTTGTCTGCTAAATATAGATACAGTGAGTTACACACACACATGGATCACATCTCTGCGTGCCAATACCATTGCTCGCGGGGAGGCGGCAGAGGGAACGGACAAAACACTTCTATTTATCAATCTGCGTTCATCTTTGTTAATCTTTGTAAACCATCCTTTTAGTGCCCTCCACTTCCTTGAACTCACATTCACTTCTTGAGCTCTACTCATGCCTCATATCTTCACTAAATATCTTCTCTCAGTTAAGATAACTTTCTAACTTTTCTTT